TCTTGTAATTAAATATCAAAGTTATAATACAAAACATGTTATATATATATATATATATATATATATATATATATATATATATATATATATATATATATATATATATATATATATTTATTTATTTATTTATTTATTTATTTATTTATTTATTTCTTTATTTATTTATTTATTTACCAAGTATTTTATACAAATATAATAAATATTAATATTTTGTTCAATACTTTCACATGATAACCTACGACACACATCTCACAACACATAAAACACTACTAAATATCAATAGGTGTTTGTACGCTAAAGAGTTCATATTACAACTAAAATCCCAGTCATATACACAGCAAGGCAAATCTAACACTTCCTACACCCAGGGCTGTTTCAATAAAAATGGGGGTCCTGTGCGACATCGTAATTTGGGCCCCTTTTCAACTATTTCATATATATAAATAATAAATAGTTGTTCAATTGTATAAATACGTTGCATTATTCTAAAGGATCGAATCTCTTACTTTGCCACAACTATTTACAATCAGGGACGGAGGTAAGTGTATGCTTAGGGGGGCCTTGGCCCCCCTCCCCCACCCAAAATTTTTTTAATATTATATATGTATTAAATTTTTTTTAAAAAATATTATATAGAATTTTAAAATTTTGTTGTTTTTTCAAAATATTTGGCCCCCCTCCACTTAATTAATGTTACAGGTAAAGTTATAAATTTTTTCATCTTCTCAACTTTTTCAGTTCTCTCCTATTTCAAATTATGTATTCCATATATTGTTGACTCACATTCAAATTAAATTTCATTTAACCTACTTACTAGTTTCTCTGCCTAGAACCATGCATATATGCGGCATATACGTTATAATAAGATAATTTGTCATTAACAAAATCTATGCATATTTTTCAAGTTAATTTTTATTTTTTATTTTTATTTATAACTACTTGTTTGGTTAATTTTTGTTTCATATTCTATTGTTTATCTTAAATAATTGTTTTGTTTGATTCTAAATCATGGATATCAAGTGCATTTGTTTGGTTAATTATGTAAATTTGTGGTTGTGTGATAAATTTTGTATTTAATTTAAAATGCATAATAATGTAACAATTGTGTAGTATATGTATTTGAGAAAACAATTGCTATTATGTTATGTTGTGAAGAGGGTTTTTCAAGAAATAATCAATAGTCTTTTAAAACATGCGTGAATGTTTTCATTCTTTCAACCGTACAAAGTAATGTGCATTGAAAAGCATATTGCAAAATAATTTAATATAGATTCAATTATAAATAATTTATTCTAAACTTTATTGAATTTGTAATGTAATGATTATTTTGAGATATGTTAACGGGATATCAATGTATTTGATTTAGTACTTCAATCGTAGTTTGGCCCCCCGCACTGTTCCGTCCTGGCTCCGTCCCTGTTTACAATACCACCATAATCGGTGGTCTAGGCGGCCGCTCGGCCGCCTAAGTGCCACCTCGGCCTCCTAGGCGCCGACAAAACCGCCTAATCGGCCAAGCTATTGCTTCATTCCTTTTAAATAAATTATTTCACTCAAAACGACATCGTTTTGAGCAAAATAACTCTAAATTGTTCAAACTCATCTTTTTAAAGTGAATATTTAATATTTTAGTATTAACTATTAAAGTATTAAATAGTTTATAATAATCAAATTTTAAAAAATTTAAAAATTTTAAACAAATTTTTAAAAAATAAAATAAAAAATACATGAATGCCGAGGTGCCCTAGATGCTAGGCTCCCCCGATTGCTCGAGGAGTGCCTTTTCAATCATGTATATAAGTATACAATTTTTTATTTTTATTTTTTTACAATTGTGCTCCCAATTGAAAAAAAAATTATATATATAACTCATATAATATATGTATATAAGTATTTTTTTTTTTTTTACAATTGTGCCCCCAAATTTGAGGGCCAATTGTAAAAAAATAAAAATAAAAATAAAAATAAATTATATATATACACATACTATACAGCAGGCAGCACTGCCTGCTGTATAGTATATGTATATATGTTTTGTAATTGGGGCCCCCAAAGTGTGCAAGGTCCCTGGGCAAACATGTCCAGGGATGGCACTGCCTACACCATAATCTCTTGCATGATGAATCCCTCTATGCTGCTATCAGTAACCTAATTGCATATGACACACTACCAATAATAAAAAAAAAAAGGACATGTACTGAAGATGAAAACAATAACAATGCAACCCAAAAGATAATTAAGAAGAATTAGAGAAATTTAAATCAAAAGTAGTATTTATTTAGACTATAGTTTGAAGACTAAGTATTTAAACTAGCGTTATTACAAAGTTGCAAACATTTATTGTAGTGACAATTATAATCGATCTCTTTCATATATTACATTGCATTTATATACTTTAAATTACCGATATAAATAAACAAATTCAACATTTATTTACCTATGCATGAACATCTCCTATATAATATTGCATTGATATACTTTGAAATACTTATTTAAAAATAATTATTGGGCATTATCTCATTCGCGCAAAGCGCGTAAAAAAACTAGTATTGATAATAAAGTGGGTTGGTCAACATATTTTGTATGAGAAAAAAAGTCTACACAAGTGACAAAAATATCATGTCAAATGAAAATATTCCACTTTTGGTCCTCTAACTATTATACATGAATCACATTTAGTCATTAATTATTAAAAAATTTTAATTAGATGTATGATTATGTAATTTGTATCACATTTGGTATTGTTGTCAAATTTTCTGCCCTAACTATTACCGGAAGTGTTCCTTCCGGAAGAAGCAAACGCAATACTCGTTTCGAAATCCGACAATAGTTGGCTGAGAAATTAGACGACATGACCAAATTTGATACAAATTACATAGTTATGCACATAATTATAAAATTTTAATAGTCAAAGACCAAATATAATTCATGTAGAATAGTCAAGAGACTAAAAGTAATAATTTATCATGTCAAATTAAGGCTCACAAACAAATACGAGTAACGAATTTCATTATGTGAGACTAAATACTTAGGTGAAAATCATGAAATTAACTTCTCACTATAATGACTATATATATATATATATATATATATATATATATATATAATTGAGGGACTAAAACTACATAGTTTGTAATAAAATTTGATGTAATATGTAAGAAGGTAGGGTGCATGCCCTAGTTTACATAATAGTCATGTGCCCATCAAACCAAGCTAAATGTTAGGCTGCCAATCCTATTTTAGCTTCCTAGAGAAAACAACTAGGGAGTATAATGTATCTCAAATGTCAAAGCCATTATTCAATGAGAATTTGGTTGCACACTTTCACGTTAGAACATTTTCATTGGTTCAAAATGTTCAATTTTTTGGTGATTTTTGTCCATATAGAGAGGAAAAAAGAGGGGAAAATACATAATGAGTAATCGCAATAACTAACCCCTTTATAATTTTACCTGGTCAGAATATAGGAGCCTTTAGGACAAGGGGTTTTGCCTTTGTTGTTGTTGGCAAGAAAATAAAGGAGAGTGGGGAAAGAGATGGCAGGGGTTTTAATGTTAATTTTAAATTTTTCTCAGTCTTTTGTCAAATTTTAAATTTGTAAAAAAAAAAACAAAAACAAAAAACAAACTAGTCATGTCCTGAGCGGACAGAGTATGCCTAGAGGAGCGTGTATCTTTAACACACTCACTAGGCGCGTCAAAGTGGTTTCCAACTAACAACCACTTTTAAATTCTTGATTTTTTTTTCTTCATTTCAACTAAGCAAAATATGACCCAAAAAAAAACTCATTTTGAAACAAGAAAGTATACAAAGATTTTAGAGCAACATTAATAGTCTTTAGAGCATCCATATCAGTTAAGAATTTTATTGAGTTTTTGTGATTCCATGTAGTAAAGAGAGGGAGGAAGAGAGATGAAGCAAAGAAAAAAAAATTATGACAGCTCAAGCAAAAAATTAAACCACCAGTCATTTACGCGCCTAGTGAATGCACGTGCCAACTATGCGCAGCAGGTGTGCGAAACGCGCACCTGCCATGTTATTCTTTGTTGATTTTATCAGCAAGGGGAGCCATAAAAATACATAACTTGCATGAGTTAAAAACCCCTTCTCAGACTAGTTCACAAAACATATGTTTGTTTTTTCTTCTCAAAATTTGAGCAAAAACCACTGATATGGTTGCTCTTAGTTTTTTTTTTTTTTTTTTTTTTTTTTTTTTTTTTTTTTTTTGAGGTGTCAATTAGGAGAGAGAAGAGGGAGAAAAAGAAAAAGGAAAAAAAAAAAGAATTGACAAAAAAAAAAAAAGGAGCAGTAATGGTCATTCCTTCAGACTTTCAGAGTGGCCACCAGCGGCGCGTGTTTCCCATGTGCCCATGAGACGCACAGTGCACTCCAAGTGCGCCTTCTGATGTTTTTTTTTTCTACTGCAAAAACCAAGGTCTTTGCAGGAGAAAAGTCTAATGAAAATCCAAGCTTCTCATTGTCAAAAAACCTCAACATCAGTTTTTACTGCTCCAAAAACGTTATTGGAGATGCTCTTATTTATAGGTTCAAGATGATGAATAGGTAAATCAAGTATACTCACGGGCTCTTATTTATAGGTTTACCCGTACGGACTTAGCTCAATGATTTAGTGGGTAGTATTTGGGAGAAGTATACACGTGAATATAAGAAAATGCTTTGTAAAATATTTTGGAGATCACTTTGTTTCATATTGGAAAAATATATATGGCATACCAATATATTTAATACCTGAACTTATTAACAATTATACTCGGTATGAATTATAGCCGTAAAAGTCTTCTATTTCACACATTTTAGTACAAATCCGAGTACCATCCTACTCATTTTCATTGTTCTTTTAAAAATGCACTATTGTCCCATCAAACTATCTATACTATATGCAATTTAGTCAACTCTTCTCTTTTAAACTCCAAAATTATGATTTACCCCACGTATACGTTACGCATTGATTTTGCTCCAATCTCAAATTTAGTTTCGATTCTTACCAAGTAAAAGGATAGACAATTCTCGTTGAAATTCACGGTCAAATTCGACTCGCAAACGAGTTTGACGGCACAACTACTCTGACCTTTGCTTCTTTCAAAAGAAAAATTTCTTCTTTGATTTCGCCTTCAGCTTTGCAAGAACAGGAGAGGAGCAAAGAAACAGAAATGAAAGGGGATTCTTGTTTGGTGCTCATGCGATCTTCGATATTGTCGGTAGTTTTCTCAGTTTTTCTCTGCTTCATTCCAGGTTTGCCTCTTTGCTTCTTCCTGATTCTTGAATCCCAGTTCAAATTTTTGTTCAGATTGATGGTTTTTTGTTTGATTTGGTTTGATGGGGTTTGTGGGATTGGAGTGATTGTTCTGCAAATCATGAATCTTGATTATTGATTGTCGTTTTAGAGGCAAAGATTGGATCTTTTCTCATTTTTCTGTGATTAGTACTTTGAAACATGTTTGGTTTTAGCATAGTTGACATTGTGGATGCAAATATTGTGTGGTTAATTACTTCATCTTCAAATGTTAGTTTGACATTAACCCCTAACCCCCTGGTATGAGCAGAGGTGAATTCAGCCTAGAAATGAGTAGGGATGACAACAGATAGGGTATTGGCCCTTTTCTTTTTGGATGACGAGGAAAACCCACTGCCCGAGAAGGAATGTGGACTGGATAAACTTCACATTGTGATCCTAGTCGGAAAAGGATTATAAGAAAGTAAATCAGCCTAGATTGTTCATATCTGACTCGTTCAAACCAAAAAAGCTAATTAGCCGCTTCCCTTAACAGTCGAACTTGTAATATTGTGGTTACCAAGGCAACAACTTTGTCAACTTGGCTGGGGTTGCCTCGGGTATTTGCCAGTTTTAGTCATTCTTGAAGCTGAATACATTTAGAACTAGCCGAATGGTATTATTTTGTCTACCCGAATCTGATTATCAGTCCTTTAAGCGTTCGGGAGGGTCAGGTACCTATATTGCCTTACCCTTGATTCAGCCTCCTTTGGTGGAGGTTAGGAAGGAAGGGGGTGGGTCTGGGGCACGTTTAATTTCTTCCCTTTCACTGAAGGTAACATTATGTCAAATCTAGTTTGTTGATGGGTGTCAGATTACTGTTCTTATCACTGATATTTTGTGATTTTTCAAACATAGCTTTAGCTATGAACTATTCATCTTTCAGAGGCTCTAATTTCCAATAACCGATAGAACAGCTTTCTTTAGACTGAGCTTCTGTGTGGTTTTACACTTATTTCGTGTTCCCATTTCTGTTCTAAAGGGTTGGCAGATGTCTCGGCGCCAGCAAACTCTGGAACGAATTCTCCAAACCATTCATCCAAGAAGTCCACCGCGCTGCTAGTCCTTGGCGTGTGCCTCGGGGTCTTAGCCCTCGTTGGAGGGGCAGTCATCCTCTTCAAGTTTTGGCAGAAGAAGAGGAGAGAAGAACAGCACGCCCGCCTGCTAAAGCTCTTTGAAGAAGACGATGATCTTAACGTCGAGCTGGGAATCTGATCCAGGTCGAACTTTCCTCATCCATAGTGTAGTTATGCGAGGTGCCCTATCGATCGCCAAGATTTGTTATTCTTTTCTTCTTCTTTATGTGCATTTTAGCTGCCTCTGAGGTTTACAAATCTGCATTTACAAGTCTTGTGGTTGTGCATAGATGAATAGCAGTATATGTAAGAGTTTGCAGACATTTTTTTTTCTCAAGGTTATCGAAATACCAGAATTTTATGCTTTACGTTTCTCGTTTGTAAGATGTACAGTAAAACCGAGTAGATACAATATATAAACATAAATGTGTAGTCCAACTATCAGCTTAAACACAAAAAAGGGAGAATAGAAAACCAAGAATCGGAGAAGTGGTAACTGTCCAAAAAGTTGTACACAAAAATAAAGCAAAAAAAAAAAAAGAAAAAGAAAAGAGATCATTAAACCTCAAAAAGTGGTTTCTCAAAAAAAAAAAAAAAAAAAAAAAAAAAACCTTAAAAAGTTCATAGATACAACAAGAGAAGTAGCCAAAAACCATACAGAGCTGCCAAGCCAGGGTTATAAGTACATGCAGAAAAGCATGCTGAATAGTGAAGACAGAGAGCGGAGCAGAAAATCTGGGCAAAACCAGCAAAGAAAAGTTTAATTTACGAAAAAATTCTCAGCCGTTATCGAATATGTGTTATGAGTTAAATTTGTCTTGTGGCCATAGTAGACTACTATAAATCAACTAAGTTGTCCATAATTAATCGATTCAGACAAAAAATGTCAATAAACAGCTTCCATGAAAAGTCAGATTTAAAATCGTATGGTTATCAAACCAACTGTTGACAGTTGAATTGCCCCAAAGCAAAATGAATTCTTATATGTATAAGAGTTAGAACCAGCAAATCCTTCTAGCAGAGATCAGAGCTGAAGATAACAAATAGTGTAGATTAATTAATAGGTAACAAACAATTTATATTACATTTTTAGCTAAGTATTAAATTTTTATCATGACCCAATCCATCTAATCTGTGACGATCTCACATAAGACTCACTTCTTTTGTTTTGTTTTGTTTTTATTTTTTTATAAAAATTTCCATTCACTCATATAATGTAAGCCACGTAACATAGTAATATTCCTTGCGAGTACCACTAGCATGTTTTTTAAGAAAGAGTTTTTTTCTCGTGAATTTACCCCTAATATTTATCATAAGATAAACTATAAAATTCTTTGTATTCGTTAGTCGACTTTTTATCACGAATATAAAAATAATAATTTACTTATTAATAAAATATCAAAAAATAAATCAAGTAGTGTTACATTTTTTAAAAAAAAATAAAATAATCCAGTAGTGTTACATAAGGAGGTGAATATTAAAAAAAAAAATTATTATAGGGGTGTAGCAAACTCTTTTTTAAAAATCCTATGTTTTTTTTTTTTTTTTTTTGAAACAATGATCTTTTCTTTTAATGACAAAGAAAACCTGCAATCACTATCCAAATGTGTTCGGTGGGTAAATTATGTTTCTATGTAATAATTAACAAATCACATTTTAAATATATATGCAACCGGCTCAATCATATTTTTTGGAAAAAATGGTCAAATGCACTCTGAAGCTTTATACAAAAATGTAATTAAACCCTTCAACTTCAAAAAAAGTACAATTAAATACTTCAACTTTATAAAATCAATCAAATAAATCCACTTAACCGGTGACCAATAAGTTACCTGTAACTATTTTTGTCGTTGACCACCATCCTAAATAATAATAATAATAAAAAAGACCACCGACGACAAAAAACGACCGCCGACTACCAGTTGTTCGCCTTCTCCAAGAAGAAGGGAACATGGTCACCTTCTTCCTCAGTTGAAGAATACGGCGCTGGTTGCCTTCTTCGACTAAGGAAGAAGGCGACCTTAGCGATCGTCGACATTTGTTAATCATTGTCGACAATCAATTTAATCATCATAAATTTAATTACCGAATATTACATTACAGGTTGGTGATCGGTTATTGGACCTAGATACGTCAAAATGATAAGTTTATGTGTTCAATTATTTTTTCTTTTAAAAAAAATTACGGGCCTAATTGTATTTTCGTATAATGTTTAGGGTTTATTTGACATTTTTTTTAAAGAAGAGTAGTATTAGTCGGAAAGTAACGGTTTACCGTTCAACACACGCAATAAAGCATCAAGTGGTCCAAAGTAAATGGTCCGCGTGATTACATAAATGGTTTGCTACTCTCATTGGAAGTTTTCCAGTTTTATCTATAGATTCCTTTTCCATTGTATTTTGGTTAAATTCAAAATTGTATCTCTTCTTTTCTTTTTCTTCCGATCCGTTCAAGTTCATAGGTCAAAACTATCAAGGATAATGCAGTCATTTAACGTGGAGGCCAAGTTTTCCTATCACTTTTTATAAGTTTGAACCCCAAACTTAAAGGTCTCATCCTTCCTTGTCCACAAACAATGGAATTTTCTCGCTCTCAAGGCTATTACACCTTGGTTCGACAGGGTAGTGAAGAACTAAATTACAGTGATTCAGAGGTCTCACCGTACCGTTCTTGTTCTGAAGACGGGTAAATTACAAGATGTGCTTCAATTGACCTATAGGCCCTAAATGTTTGTACACTACTAGTATTTACAATAAGGTCAAATACACACCTCTCGTTTTTGTCATTGATAAGAATCAAACTCAACATTCTATGGTTGCTAACAAATGTTTTCTATCACTTAGTTGAACTCATAACAATATAACATTATAAATTTAGATTTTTTTTGATCTGAGACACTTCAACATGAAAATAAATAATTCACAACCTAGCAATCTTAAGCTAAGCAGATTGCTAATACAACTACTACAAGCTTCATGTCAAAGAGCCATGAGTCAAGCTTTATTTGAGTAAGAGTCAAACTCACCGGACACAAATTATTTGAACAGAAATATATAATCATAGATTAATCTCATAATGGATAATTCAGAGATAAAACATGTCTAATAATATGCATTCATGACTCTAGATATGTAGGAGTTCAAGAACTCAAGCCTCATAAAACATTATGCATTCAACCAAACCGAATTAGGATGAGAAATAAAATAAACTTACTCAATATTTCTTAATTAAAATGATGTGTTATAATAATCTCAATGTGTACAACTATGAACTAAGTTTAACTTTCCACACAAAAAAAACAAAGAACAAAAACATTAAGGTACTATACTTTAAAAGGTACCATGGACTTTCCAATGAAAATATATGGATGCTATAGTAAAATATAACGAGTTAATTACCACAATCTCTAAAAAGACTCTTCCCATTTGAATTGACTAATTTAAACCTATTCCACCAATAGTTTAGTACTTGAGTTTGAATGTCTAACCTTAATAGACAAGTAAAACAGTGACATCATATGACTCCATTATTATATTAAAATGTCATGTCTTGTCTCGAAAGGGTTAAAGAGTAGATGAAGCATGATTATAGTACCAGAAGGTTACATGTTTAGTTCCCGTCAACACCTATCCTTCTCGGTCGAGTCCGTCAAACAGGGTCTTCATAGTATGTACAATTTATCTTAATTGTTAGCTTGTTTATAAGTTATTACATTACTACTGTGGGGTTCACTCAATGCACACAATCGAGTAGCAGTTACAAATTTCTCTCGTCACTTTATTCTCTACTCTTAATATACCTTTATCTAGATATGCATAATGCAAAGGAAAAAAAAAAAAAAACTTTTGTATTTTACCTAGTCAGTTGTTTTAATTAGCCTTTTACCCATGGCTTGTTTGGTTGTTTAGTTCAAATTTAGGAGTTGTACAAATGGTGTGTTATGTGAACAAAGACAAATTATTATAGGAATTGAAATTTTAAGAATAGTTATAAATTGTTTGTTGTTTTATAAATACTGTTCAACACCCCCCCCCCCCCCATGTATTGATGGTTGTTATAGGTTGAAAAAATAGTTATGAATAGATACTGCATTGTAACATAGTTAATAGTACTTATAAAAAAAAGTATAATTATACTTTCGTATTAAGTTAAAGAGTTCATTTAATCATATTTTTTTCTCTATGGAATTTAATTATCAGCATTAACATCAATGACCAAGAAATTGTCAAATTTCTTTCAACCAATTCAATTAAAATCTCACCAACTATAAATTTATAATTTTAAATTGTAAACGATCAAAACATTGATGTAATTCATCATTTTAACATTAAAAAAAAAAATAATCTATAACAAGACTCAAAGTTTCTAAAATAAATGTAGTCTATGATTAAAAGTTGAGAGAGAAAGTGGTAAAAATAAAATAAAAATAATAAGCCTAGAAAGGGCTAGCAGAGTAGCAGGCGTGAGAAATTCCACTGAAAATCGTGACTTGCACGTTATGACTTTTTACCCCTTTCTACATTATCACTATCAAATATCAATATAATACTATTTAACTCCGTTCCAATTTGTGTGTCTAGTTTAATTAATAAGACTTAACTGAAATTAGTTTAAATTATATTTTTTATAATGTTAAGTTTAGTATTAACCTACAAAATTTATATATTTAAAAACTATAATATTATTAAACACAAAAAAAAAATAAATTTAAAAAATAAGTAAAAATTAACAAAATGAAAGAATTGGTTTGACAAATGATAAGTAAAATAGGATAGATGCAGTAATACATTTAATTAAAAGTAAATTTTATTTTTGGTCCTAGATTTATAGGTAGCAATCCAATTGGAATCCTTTTTATTAAGAACATGCAAATTATTTTGTGGACCCATGTCCATTTGCAAGGTGAACCCGATCCAAAAATACACAATTTATAATTGAAATGTTCACAAATTTACATACTGAATGTTCACAATTTACATACTAAATGTTCACAATACAAATTGTGAACATTCAGTATGTAAATTGTGTATTTTGGACTCGAGTCTACTTTGCAAAGTGAACCCGAATCCATGGTATAACTGCTATTAAAAACAGCCATCAACTAGCTAATCAACTCAAAATAAATTAAAATAAGGTATAGAATTCAGACCCTATCAAGGATAAAATAAAATGAAGGTTTGTTGCAGTACCAGTATACAAGCATTTGAGATTTACAGGTGGGTTGGAGAGACATTTGAGGGTTCTAAACCACGTCTCAAGATTAACCTAATTTATGATATTTTCTTGTAATATATTATTTCAATGAGTAGAAATTCTCTATTTTTTTTAATGTTTTTTAATGAGTAAAATGATTTTTTTCTAGAGTAAAATGA